CCCGGGGGGCCCCGCCGCAGCGGGAGGTCGGACAAGGTGACCTCCATGGGCCCCTTCCAACCTCTGCCGTCCTGGGATGGTGCCACGGGAAGAGCCGAAGCATTTAACAAAGGTGGGGACTGAAAAAAGAAGGGTAGAATTGTTTTTAATGGCATGTTTTCACTTTTCCCTTGTTTCTTTCCTGACCCAGCCTCTTACAGCCAAGCCAAAAGCATCCAGTCGAACCCTGGAAAGGAAGCGCTCCTCAGTCGCGTTCACGCAGACAAGAGCCTCCCAGCCTCGCACCAGGCAAACCACCATCTCCGCCTTCTTCAGCACGCAGACAGGTAACGCGGGACAGCGCACGCTCCTGCAGGAAAGTCGTTTCAGGCTGCAACTGGAAACCCATCTCGTTTTGTTTCTTGGCAGCTTTACTACGCAGAAAAATATGGTTTTTAATGAAGAGGGTAAAGATGAAAGGTTTGAATTCCCAGAAATAATTTTATTGTGATGGTTAATCTAAATGCAAGCACCTTTTACAGCATTAGACTAAAGCATAATAACAGCAGTCACAGCCAGTCTTCACTGGAGAGCAGTCGGAACTCTTAAGAAACTCACCAGGCTCAATCTCCTACAAAACTGGAGTTTTCAGTGGAATGCTGGGAAGTCTGGCTCAGCCCAAGTGCTGATACAAACCGTCCAGGTGGCAAAATGTCCAGTTCTGGGTTGCCCAATGACACCGTGTTTGTGCTAAACAACAGCAGCCCTAAATTGTCAGTTAAATGCCCTTGAAGGAACTTTATAGCTGGAAGTGAAAATGAATGTTGGTTCAAACAACCTCCCTGTAAGGGGGATCAGTGGGAAGTGAGTGTGGAAAGTTTTTTTTATGAAAGGTTGGACAAAGCCTTTTCTAAAGAAGGCAGTGGTTAACCCCAGCTGAATGGATGAAGGAATGACAAGAGAGCTGAAATATTTAAGCTAATTAAGCCAACTCACAACCTCTGTGCTTTTGAGGCTGCTTTTGTGCTCTGGAATACAAGAAACTGGGATTTGTCTGTGGGTCTCAAATTAATAAATATAGAGAGAAGTGAAATGGATGTGGAAACCAGCAGTGTAGGATTGTGTAGCTGTTTGTACACTGGAAGTTGTGTAATGGCTAGTTCATCAACATTAAACTAGTTTTGCAGTAAGCAGATTAGAGGAAGCTTTACATAAATTGTACAATGTAATTATTTGACAGAATTTTTGTGTTGTGACAGGGCCATTGATGGGTTTTGCTCTGGATTTGTTATTCCTGCTCCTTTTGAATGTGTTGTGTGCTTTCTTCTTTTTTTTTTATTTGATTCCTTCGATCGATTGCATTCACTTACGCACTCTGTGTTCGGATTCATTGACCGCTGCTGCTGTCTGTCAGAGGTCTGTAGGATTTAAGGTGCTTCTTATCTGTATTTAAGGTATTTTTTATGTGTAATTTTTTTCTTTTAGCATATCCTGGATCAAGGATGAGCTTGCTTATATTGAGACGTTGTATTAGATTTAATTTTAAAGGATTTCAGAAGTAAACGTGGGACTTGATGCTTGCATCAGGCGATGAATGCAAGCTGTAGGAGTTTCACTGTGGGGTTTTGTGGGGGGTTTTTTGGTAACTCTTGAGCTTTTAAAGGGAATGTTGTAGGTGAACTGCCTGGAAAGCTGAGAGGAGGAAGGCAGGGAAGCCAAAGACTGGAGACGCAGCTCTTGCGTCTCACTTGAGGGAAGCTTATTTTTTCGAACTGCTCCCATGTTTTAGGCTGCTGTTCCATCACAGCCTCAGCAGCGCAAACGCAGATGATTGTGAGGTGGTGGCAGTGCTGCTCTGCTGTGGGACAGTCTGTGTGGTGCGACTCGAAGGAGCACTAAAGCAGCAGTCCTGAGTCAAGCATCAAGGAACGGTGGTGTGGGTAGTGACTAACCCCGAGAAATATGCGTGCCAGCTCTGGCTTTAACCAGTTTCCTGTTGTTTTCAGATGAAAAAGACAAAGAAAACTCCAGGCCATCTCCTTTTATCCCAAATAAAGACTGTAAAGAAAAAGGTATTTCTTTGGCCGCCTCCCCTGTGAAGATCTTGGCTTTGCCGCGGACGGAGGAAGCCCAGAAGCAATCCTTCAGCGCCGAGGAGAGGGTGCAGGTTCCAGCCCAGCGTCGTCCACAGAAGGCACCAGCCTCGCCGACTCCTTTGCTGGACGCTCCGTTATTACACGTGGAGTCTCCCAGCAAGAATGAAGCCTCCTGTGGGGTGGGAGAGGATTGCTGCTGCTTCAGCTTCACCCAGGACTCAGAGGGCAACCGGATCATCGCTCACAGAAACCAGTCCCGTTTATTTGCCGGAGAAGCGGTGTCAGCAAGCGGCAGCGTAACTTCCGACTGCGGGATGGAGCAACAAGCGGGTCAGCTGCACCCAGAGGGGGCGAAGTCTGGGTTTGGTTTCCAACCAAGACTTGGTGCAAAGCCGAACACGGAACCACGCCGATCGGGTAGTGCTCATTCTGTAATTGATTTCTCTGAGACTGAGAACATCAATCCTGCTACAACGAGAGACAGCACCTGGACTGCTGGCTTCTATCCATCTCCACGCCGACCGGCCGGAGCACAGCCCCCGCGAGAGCGCCGAAGTCTGGGTTTGGTTTCCAACCAAGACTTGGTGCAAAGCCGAACACGGAACCACGCCGATCGGGTAGTGCTCATTCTGTAATTGATTTCTCTGAGACTGAGAACATCAATCCTGCTACAACGAGAGACAGCACCTGGACTGCTGGCTTCTATCCATCTCCACGCCGACCGGCCGGAGCACAGCCCCCGCGAGAGCGCCGAGCAGCCACAACGCTGGGGCTGGCGCAGGCGAGGAAGGACGGGGCAGTGAGCCAGGACTGAGCAGTCCCTGCAGGCAGCTCTTCACCCAGGACTCAGAGGGGAACAGGGTCATCGCCCACCGCCACCAGCAGGTCCCATCTCCTCGCAAGGACCACGGCTGCTCGCGCAGGCCGCTGCCGAACTCTCCCTACAAGGGCTGTTCCCGTGACGCTGCAAACAGCAGCTGGAGCAAACTGGGGCAGCAGCAGCTAGAGGTGTGCTACGATTCACTGTTCACACAGGATTCGGAAGGGAACAGAGTGATTAAACACTGGTAAGTGGCCCTGAATGGGTCACCTGTATGACCCCTTGTGGGTTTTTTTGTAAGAAAGTTAGAATTAGGTAAGTGTACCCACTGTTTCTGTGTGTATGGGCTGGCCAGCATATGCAGCAGACCCGTGCAACAGGCAGGACCTCTTTGTTCTCTGAAATTTTGCTTTAATAAAAATAAAATTTTGAAGGCTTATGTTTGCAATGGTTTGACTGGTTCCATCATGATTAGAGCCTGTGTGACCAAGGCCTGACTTTAGCACTGCAGCTGTGTTTCTTAGGCTGCTGTTCAGCCTGAGAGCCCACTGCTAATCTGTACTTCTTAGGATCATGGAAGTGTAAATTTAAAGGTTTTTTTTTCTAGGCCCAGTGCAGGACCCACACCATCTACTTCACTTTAGCTGCTGTGAGAAGGACCAGGCTCAGCTATGTCCTGCTTGTCTCAGGACTGCAGCTGTGCCAGCCCCTGAAGGTGACAGCTGGTGCATGTGTCACCGTAATGGGAGGCTTGTGTGTTTGTGGCCATGGAAGATGTAGCTCCAGTAGCTGCAGGGGGATCATCAGAGCACCTGGCTGCTGTTGCCAGACTTACCAGAGGCTTAAAGTGAGGAAGACTGTGACAAACAGGAGGGATTTGTTCTGGGTAAGTCTGAACTGTGTCCTAATGTCGGATCTGTGACGAGATCCTGCTTTGTCAGCAGCAACTGCCCAGTTTTTTACTTTTTGGTTTTTTTTTTTTTTAATGTTGAGTATGTCTTTAACACTGCAAATGTTGCCATTTAAGATGGCTTTGCTCTCCCCTTGGGCCAGAATTTCAGTACAATAGATCCAACTGGAGTTAGGTCATAGGCCAGAAGTTAATTGTGCCGATACACTCAGATCCATCCTGCACATGGGGCATGTTCCCAGGAACAGGGACTATTGGTTACGGCTCCGTCTTCTCCATAGGCAGGTGTTTTCCCACCAAATCCTTACGCAGGGGAGCCTTACTGGGACAGGGAGAACCATCCTCTGGGCCTGTGGCTCTTTGCATGCGTATGAGAGGGGAAGAGCAGTATCAGTGGCCTGTAAAACTGATTGAGTCGTACTCGCTGTTCTGCTCTCACTGCGGGGGGAGAAGCAATACAAGCTGCTTCTCTCACTTCTGAGGTGGGGGAGATGGGTTAAATTTTCAAGGGCTGAGGGCCTGGTGGATGAAGAAAATCCTCGACATCGGAGCACATTCATCTGCAGCACCACCACCCACCACTCCAGCTGCAGCAGCTGAAATTCCGCACCCCGGGATACAACCACCGCTGCTGCCATGCTTGCACACCGCGTTAAAAATACCAAGCACAACCACTGTCTTATTAAGGCTCCATTTTATATAAAGGAAAAAAATCATACTTTAAACACAGCCATGAGGAACATCGCAGAGAATGTGTAGCTGAAGGAAACCTCTCAGTGAGAACTGTAGCCATCGATGACGCCAGGCTCCTGCTTCCCTTTTCTCAGACGACAGCTCTTGGGGCAGGTGCTCAGTTCTTAGCATTAGTGGTTCCATAAATAGACCTTTTGAACGCTAAATAAAATAGATCCTCTGAACACAAGGACTATTAATGAAACATTAAATTAGTGGCAAGAAATTAAGGCCATTCTGTCATGCAACTGTGGGGATAGTTTGTGAGTTAAGGAATACCCGGGGCTCCCTAAAACCATCCCTTAGACGTGCCGAGTGGTTTGATCATTGACTGTGGTTTCATCCTACCATCAGCTCAGACAGAGTTACTGGGAAGACGCCTTTTACCGCTGCGATTCAACCACCTCCTGAAGACTTGGGAACATTAATGAGCTTATTCTCAATAGCTCTGTACCGTACTCAGAGGAAGAACCGGATGTTTGACATACATTTATACTGGAAATGGGAACTGGTTGTATTGCAACAAGACTGTTAATGCTTAATTTGAACCTAAGGAAAATTGTAGGTAGAAAGAACGTCATCCAGCAGCACTCATTGCACTTTTCAGAAGATCCTTATCAATAATCAACATCAAAATACAGGTGGAAAAGAAATTCCATCATCTTAAAAAGTTTTTTCTTAAATATAACAATACATGGAAAACACATCAAATCCATAGGGTCTTTCCTAAGTAAGTGTCCAGTGCAGAAACCATTTCTAATTAATAAAAGAGGCAAAAGGCTCAATCCTTAGGAAGGCAGCTACTGTGGAGAAAATTTTGGGAGCATAACACTTTTGCTTACAGAGTTTAATGACAGTAACATCATTTCTTCTTCAGGGCCAGATCTTCATCCTTGAGGGCAAATTTTCTTCTCAGAACTTCTGCTATAAGAACAGCCGGGTCTTCCTCCTTCATGGAAGTTCGGTTTCTACACAGGAGACAAAAGCAGAGTGAATTAGCAAAGGGAAGTGCCAAAATTGATAGTTAACAGCTCTGGTTAGAGTCTTTTAAGTATTTTTCTGCAGCCTTTATCATCAGCTTTTGTCACAAGCAGAGGAGGTGCAAGAACAACACCACAAAACAACAGAAAGCAGCTAAAAATTCAGCCCTTTCCTGCTGGCTTAGAAAACCTGGAGCTCATTTTGTGGATCAAGGAGCATCCTGAAAATCTCAGCATCAAAGCTCTTTATAATTTTTATTCAATGGTGTTAATAACAAGCAAGTACAACAAAAATTCATTAATTATTTACAGCCTACATCCCCCTCAATATAAATCTACAAGTGGTGTGGTGTCTGAGTGGAAGTATTTTTTTCCATGAATGTTGCTATACGATGGATATAAGCTTTCCTATTGAAATAGGGGTAGTTGCAGGTGTTTTCAAGGAGGGCTGGTACGCGTTTCCCTCCGCTTAGCTACTGCACTGAGTGCTGCAGCATCCCCTCATCAAAGCACCCTGCCTCTTCCAACGAGTTCAGACAAGCAGTTCATGGTAGACGTGTTAGAAACTTATTTTATAGGGCAAACCTGAGGAGCCCGAGTTACCCAAGGATCTGGCAGGAGGAGCGGCCAGAGGCAGAGGCGACACTAAGAGCAGTGAGGAGAGGCAGCACCGACAGCCTCGAGCTGCGCCGCTCACGAGGAAAAGCTCTCCCGGGATGAGCGAAGAAACAGACACCCCACAGCGGGTGAGAAGAGGAACATCCACCACCGGGTACAATGTCCTACAGGGCGGCACAACCCGCAGCAGACTGCAGACCACCAGCATTCACCTTCAGTGTCTCAGCCCTTCACAGCTGCTTGAAGGGCCGAGGAAATAATCATGGAAAAATGAAGTTGGTCAGTCCCGTAAGGGTAGTACTTACAAGTGGAAGTTACTCACAGTCCCAGCAGCTCCTCACGCTACCTGTCTCTCCCCCCAGCTGAGCAGGGCTCAGCAGGGCACACCGCTCACCCGCTGCCCTCGCAGGGCACCACAGACACTTCAACAGGCTCAAATTTCACATCTGTTGAAACATGCACATTTCTGCAAGCGTTTCTCACTCATTCCTGAGGCTTCCAGGGTTGTGTTTAAGCACCAAGTCCTAAACAGGAGCATCAGAGAAGCATCTATGTAGTTATCTCGTTAGGCATCGTTTGGTACCTTCACAGAGTACATGATCCTACAGCTCGGCTCAAGCTGGCCCAGCGCGGCCGCGCGGTGAGCGCGGCTGGAGAAGCGCAGGGCTGCTCGCACAGCTGCACCGACACCAGAGGATCGTGTCCAGGAATTAAAGCTGAATAAAGTAATGAACATCAGTGATTTATTTAATGTTTCAACTACCTGCAATTCTTCAAGCAGCTTTAATTATACTGTAATAACCGTATCCCAAAACGTCCCTATTGCACGTAGGGGATGAGTTAGAGGCTGAGAGAGAGAAACAGATGAGAGGAAAACAGTCCAGCTTCAGCAAGAAACAATCCCAAACTTTTCTACTGAAGTGTTTCTGGCCCTGACACACGTGGCAGCAGCAGAGGAAGGACGTGTGTCCCTGCTCCCAGCTCATCACTCCAGCTGTCACAGGGGCAGAAAGGTGATTCGGTTCCTTTGCCCACTCTGTACCCCAGCAGCTACCCCCTTCTTCCAAGCATTCTACCGCACAAAATCCTTTCCTCCATCTGTAACGTTAAGAAGCAAGGCTGTTGGTAAATCCCTTCTTTGTGCACGAGCCATCTCTTCCTCCCACTCGTTCGCACAGCTCCTCTCCCAGGGTAACAGCAAGATCCAAGCCCGATTAGCTGTTCTCACACCTTCTGCTGAGGAAAGCAGGTCAAATCGTGACCCACTACATCACAACGTTCCCTGCCACGCTGCTCTTCACTGAGGATGAGCTCTACGGCTGCTGATGACACATTCGTGTGCCCCACAGCCACCACGAACAGACACAACCACAGCGCCCACCATGCACACCGGGCTGCGGCTAACGCACACCCAGCCACACGAGTCACGTTTTTGTTCCTGCCTCATGGATGTGCTCCAGCCCTCCTCGAAGACTTTGCAAACAGCCTCCCTGCCATCAGCACCTGGCTCTGCGTGACTCTGCCAGCCCTGGTAGCAGCCCTATTGGCATATCCAGACATGGATAAGAAACACCTCAGGTTTCCCTGCCATCATCTGTATAAGTTTTGCCCCCCCTGCCCTGAACAATGCACATTTCCCCATTTTCACCCAGCACAGATGGTGGCAGTCTTCTTACCCTGAAAAGCCTGCTTCCACAGAAGCCGAACACGCCAGTCTGTACTAACTGGAAGACTGATAAAAACGTTACCTGTCAGTGCTTAGTCCTAGAGGTACAGGTTTCTGAGAAAGTTAAAACATTTGATGTCACGACATGAAGCATCTGCAAGCTTTTCGGGATTTAACAGAGCCAGGATTGCAACAGACAGGAAGAAGGAAGAGGAGCAATTCATCTGTGGTCCATGAATTCTACTCACCCTCAAGAAGGATTACAGGCATTCTCAGAAAGCTACTGAGCTTTGAGTAATATTTAACACTTGGGAAAACAAGAGCAAGAGGGTGTGCTGTGTGAATTATGGATGTGGAATACCGTACTGGTGTTCTGGATGCCACTGAACATATTTCTTTCACTTGACTACAGAATTTTTTCAGCGCTGAGAATGTGATTTCTCTTAAACCGAATTAGGCACAGAAATTGCAAACAGCCACCACACGACACGTTATTTTCGGCCAGGAATCTTACTCACAGAACATGCTGACCGGATAGGTCTTTGGGCTGAAAAATGTGGAAAATATATCACTGTGATCCTACACATACAACAAGGGCAGCACAGCAAACACTAAAGCAGCGACGTTGTCAGCTGGGCAGAACCGTGTGGCAGCTGGCACGGCATCAGCTTGAGGTGTTCTCATGAGCAATGTGTAAACTCATCACGAGACAAGTGAAAACTCACTCTGCCCACGCTCAGAGCTGGGCCAGATGCAAAAGCTGAGAAGCTGAAAAGCCCCACGTGTTAATTCCTGTTTGTGCCATGCTGAAAGAGCTGCTGAGCTTCCCAACCACCTGGGAGTGCAAGATGGTCTAAGCACCAGCACCTGGAACCGCTGCGGGCAGAGAGGACAGTGCGGCCCTCACTCTGAAGGTTGCAAATATACAGTTCTGCTTTTTTATCTGGGGAAATGCAAGCTGTTTTTGAGATGAACAAGTTGAAACAGCCAAACCGTTCTCTGCGCATGGCAGGGCGGTTGGAACTGGATGATCTTTGAGGTCCCTTCCAACCCAAACCAGTCTGTGATTCTACAAACATTGTGCTAATCGGTTTAAGCTCCTCCCCATTGCTTTTTATCCAGGCAGGTCAAATAAAAATAAATAAAAATCAATAAAAAACCCCAGAAACTTCAGTGTTAGCAGGTTCTACTGTAAACAGGTATTTCCCTCCCTGTGAATCATGAGTACAGTGCAGCACCAACAAGCAGTGAACGCAATGTCCAGTGTCTACAGTGATTTGACAGACAAGAGATAAAATCAAGAGAGTTCAGGAAGCACTTACAAGTCTTTGCTCTGCTTCATCCTATGAATATCCTTAAGAATGCCCATCATGTCCGCAAAACTGCTGGCCTTGGAAAGAGACACGGAATCTTCCTCGTCAGGATCCTTTGGTTCTGGTTTACAGCACTCGGAGGCTGCAGAACAAAGCATGGAGACCGACGGGAGCTCGGGGCTCTCGAGCTCTGCCTCCTCCTCCGTGATGTCGCTAATGACGAAGGAAGTCGTCGACTGGAAAGAGGGTCCAAAACAAGGTAAAGGAGAAGATGCATTTGAACTTCCTGGAGATAATAAATCTGGTGTTAACGAAGCAGAAGCTGAAAAAGAAAACAATATACGTGGATAAATAAACTCAAACCAAACCATGTAGGTTTTTTTTTCCCCAAAACAACAGAATATGGATCAAGAGGCATCATCAGCCAGCCTCCCCCGTGCTATGGGAAAACAAATAAATCATATTCTCTGTTACTCTCCATGTCCACTCTGCTTCCCATGACACCACGATGCAACACAAGACCTTTTCCAGTGCCTTTTATCCCTGCAGCCCCCTTATGGATCTCTATTCCTACTGCACCCATCACCGTCTCACCCCTCGGTTCAAACACTGCGCCCCGTCCCTGCAGAAGTCACGTAAGGTTCACTTTGGTTTCCAGACAAGAAATGGAAGAGCAGAGATTTCGCTGCTGCTCAGGGTCACGGAGGGAGCCTGCAGCAGAATGCAGGTCTTAATTGTCTTCACTTTCCTCCTCTTTTTCCTCATCGCCTTGTGAACTGCTCGCTTTTCTTTTCCTTTCAGGCTCCTTCCCCCACAACCATTACGCCCGGTGGGAATGCAGAGCTGGCTCAGGAGTGCCAGCGTTTTACACCAGACGGTCACAGCAATTCACTCTGTGACTGCAGGCATTTTCACCTGGTTTTCCATCACCATCTGCAAAATGAGAATAGCATCCACCTGTTCCACGGGGAAGATGGGATTTATTTGTTCATGCTTTAAAATCCAGTGAGGATAAGAACTATATAAGCTATATAAATTCCAAGTGTTATTAAGTGAAAATGAGTTAGATATTTCCAGTGTAAGGGAAAGGGAACTAAGGGAAAGCAACCAAAAACCTAGAAAAACGCTTAATGCACATCTCCTTGAAAGAACCTTCCTGTACTGGAAACAAACTGTACCTTAAAGCACTAATGCCCTTGGCCTCTAGAGTAAACTTGTAGATAGTTATCAATTTCCAATTAAGGCATTTCTCTAACAGTATATAACAAAGCGGATTGTACAATATTTCTTTTTTGACATCAATCTTTCCAAAATAAACCTGCTAAATAGGTATCTCCATCAGATTATTGAGCTACAGCCAGGCCCGGAATCGCGGCTCCCTGCTATTGACTTGGAGGACACAAAGTCAACAGGAACTGTTATTGGTATTGAGTAGGTTCTTAAGAGTCCACTGACCATCACACAGAACTGAGAAAGAACCTCCAGTCTCTCCTGTAGAAACCAACGTTTCAACTACATCAAACCCCACAACGCTGCTTCATGCTCGGACGTGTTTATGGCTCACGGATAGCTGGATAAAACAAGCAGCCGTTAACGCTGCACGTCCCGTGAGGCTGCAATAATCCAACCACCACCACACCATCGTTCACAGAGCACGAGAGATTTGGTCTCACGTACACAGTGCAAAGCAGCAATCTGGGAACTGAAGGAAATATTTGCTTTCAGATGTAGGATAAGGAAGGTTTCATCAGCCACTACTGCCCATCACAAACAGGAATTAACCCACACAGTATCATTTCAAGCGTGGCACAATCCTGGTTGGTTTGTTTGTTTTTTAAAGTAATGGGAAGAATTACAGGTCCTTCTTTTCCCCTGGGAAGCAGCCATAATACAGCTGTCGCCTTGGTTATTGGCAGAAGTATTCTGTGTAACAGAAACACAGCTTTTAAGAAAAACTGTCTTCAAGAAGGACTAAATTCCTTTAGTTTGAAAAACTGTTCAGCATTTTGAATTGGGAGATCAACAACTCTGCCTCCTGAATGCTCCATAAATACACACAATGTATTTCTGTCTTACTAATTTCACATGTTCTAAACCAGCCACTGTTGCAGCAAGCCTTGTAAGACCACTGGGATTTGGATACTACCAAATATCCTTGTATTTTCAGAGCAGAGTATACAGGAAAAACCATGAAAGGAAGAGAAGTTGTCTTTCCTTACAGTCCAGTTTTAGCTTTGCCACTAAAACGTGGCTTTTAGTTGCCTACAAATGTACTAAAAGAAAGGAATCGATCAGTTCAGCTGGGCTCTTCTCCAAATACCTTATTTACTACAGAAATGGAACATTTTCAAAGAAACAAACACAAACATCTCGCTCCACCCGAACCAAGACACAACCCTCTCCCTCACGGCTGACTTGCCGCAGGAAAGGCAAGAACACACCAAACGCTTTCACGGAACACGGGGCTTGAGACGAGTTGGCCTCCAGATCCAATGCAGCCACAAAGCAGCACTTGGTATTTCTTAAAAACGAGCTGGACTCCTCCAGTGAAACAGATGCAAACATCTAGACAAAGACAGCACTGAGCTGAGCCCGAAGATGGCGTCCCACCAACGGCAGCAACACGCAAGCCTGCTCTGCATGGAGGAAATGACACGGTTCACTCACCCAGCCCTTCTCGTTCAACAGAACAAAGCTCATTACACTCCTACCTGACTCTGCAGCGACTATTTTAGCTATCTGACTCCGAAGGTGACTCAGCTCATCCTGGAGCTCTGTTGTTCGGCTCAGTGCTGGTAAACCAGGTTTCTTCAAGGCCAGCAGCTTCTCCTCCTGCTTCCTCAGGTTGGGGACTGAAGCGTTTCGCTGTATGACAGTGAAGGGACTTGGCTTCCATTTGTGCTTCAGTGGGCGAGTGTCGCTCCTACAGGACAAAAACCTGTGGGTCACTTACAAGGTCCAGACCCCTCTGACAACAGTGCTAGCAATGCTCTGCCTCCACCTCAGGACAGCAGAAGACTCCACCACAGTGAATTAAGTCACTCAACACAGTGAATTAAGCCACTACACCGTGTGTACCACCACGCAGATGCGCTGTGCTCTCTGCATTACAAAGAAGAGAAAGCCTGTCACCGAAATCATGACCCAACAGCACGAGATGTGGTGGGAGGACACAGGGACACAAGTCTGGGTGTGCTCACATGGTTTCAAGTCATTTCTCTCCTGGTAACTGTGCCTCTGTGCCGGGTGGCGCGCTGGATGCAGATGGGAAAGGTCACCTACCCACTAACTTTTGCCTCTGATTTCAAAGTCCATTTTATCTTTCGCAAGATACCTGTTACTACTGCCCTGCTCTAAGGATAAAGGTTCAGCTGACCAGAACCAAACTCCTGGGGGCAGAACATTCCAATCCCAGGAGAACTCAACTCTTCAACTTTCTAACCAGAAAATACCACAAATCACAGGGGTTACTCTGCACGGATCTTTCAAGTGAGTAAAATATGGCATGGCACAGGCCCTTAGCACCTCCTACAGGAATTCCTCCCAGGGTCCTTTGTCCAATTTTTTTTTTTCTTGTTTCTTGGGAAAAACGTCTTTCAACAGGCACCACATCAGACCTCAGGAGGCCTGGAAGTTGCGATCATTTGATCAATGGCTGGCCTATACTATGCAAAACAAACCAGCACATAAAAATAAGGCTCAGCAGACACGAAGAGGAAACCAACCTGACTCTGGCATACGTCTCTTCGTCGTCTGCTGCTATCCACACGATGTCTGCCAAGGTGGGGACTGGAGGGACATCATTTAAATAGAGGTCGGAAACATTTGGTAGAACCTAAAAAGAAGAGAGTTACACTAAGCAAACGGTGGTCCTGTCTCCTGATGCCGTCCCAGATGTGCTGTACTGGTTGTCAGAGCCACAGGACGGCAGCTGCATCCGTCGGATGTGCGAGAGCAAAACCAGTTGGCTCACGGAAACGTAAGCCAGAATGTGTCCATTCCATGTGTCGCTGTGCTCCGTGAGGCTGAACAGCAAGGCAGCAAAGGGAACCCGATACAGCTCAGCACGCTGCCAAGGCCACGTGCAACGCTGTGCCACGACAAGCCCCAGCGCTGTCCTTGAGCTCGAGTGGTGACGTAAGCGTTTCCACAAACCCTGTCCTACTGTTTAGGAAACTGGCCTAGAGGGCATGTGGCTTGCTGGAGGTCACACAACAAAGCACTGGAGCAGCAGCTCCATGTTTCTGTCTCTTCTAGCTTGCTATACCTCCTCTATTTCAGGATGTATTTTCCTCGAGTTGCCAATGATCTCTTACAAGAACAGAATTTAAAAAAAAAAATAAAAATCTTACAATTACCTATACTACTACATGAGTTTTGTGCACACAACTCTGCAGACCCCTTTGTTCACAGGACAGCAGTTCGTGGCAGTGCCATGTCTTGTGCCATCTTTCCCATATACAATCACCAAATCCCTTCGGAGTCTGCTTACCTCAAAGGTTGCTCTGGGACAGGGTTTCAAAGGGAGGTTTGACCCGATCCTCCTGACCACGCTGCGCGCTGAGCCGTGGGGTTTGTTCTGCCAGATGGGGATCGTCTGCAAGAAGTCGTACGATATAGTTAATATTCCAAGTCAGTTGCCCTTCTTGGAACTTATTGAATTGGAAATCATCCTATACAATCAACTCAAGAGCTCTGATTGTTGGGTGATGCTTTTAATCGGAAACCTGCTAATCACTAAGGTCCTCGTTCCATAAAACTGTGTTTCAGATGAACATACGTGAGCCAGCCAGTTACTAAGGGGTGTTTTAAACTGGGGTGTAGTGTTTTCAGGACTGAAAACAAAAAGCACTCAGTGGCAGACACTGAGCTACAAACGAAAACGTGTCAAAAGAAGGAATGCGGGGGGCCAGGAGAAAACTGAAATCAGAGAAAGTCTCATTTAAAGGGACACTCTCACTTCCACGTGACCTTTAACACAGTCAGCACTGGTAAGGCCGTGAACATCTCCTGGATGACAGCAAAGCGCCCAGTCAACACCCCTCCCAGCTGAGGGCTGATGAGAACGGCCTTGGAGCGTGTCTGCAGAAACAGCAAATGTTTCAGTGGTCTCTGGATGCTCCTGAAATGGACTCAAAAGGAGAAGTGCTCTTTGCACAAGGCTCCAGACAGCGAACGCCACAACGACAAACTGGGATCCAAACCAGTTCCATCGCCCAGTCCACCAACAAATCCGTTAATTTACTTATTGCTGGGGCTCGCTACGCGCGCAGTGCCCGAACGCTGGTCTCAGACGATTCAATTCACAATTCCTCATGTCCTTAAATCGAATCCCCGAACCGGGAGTGCGCTGACTGCTGTGGCAGCCCCCTGGCCACCGGCCGCGGGCCCGGGGGGG